ATGACAGGATACAGCAGTGACCCAGAAGCCGGGGATGTTCTGGATGATGAGGTTGCGTCGCTCCAGATGTGGGCGCCGCATGTGACTGAACTTTGCTTTGAGTTGGGCAAAGGCACGGCTGGCCTGCTGGTTCAAAACTTTCAGTTCCATCCGCACAGCCTCCAGGGCTTCCAAGTACTGCTCAGTCTTGCGAGTGGGCTGCGGCTTCCCTCCCTCTCCCTCGTCCTCGTTTTCCGTCTCTGCCCCTCTCCCCCCCGCAAACCCCCCCCCCCCCCGGCCATTTCCCAACAGCTAGCAGCAATGACAGGATACAGCAGTGACCCAGAAGCCGGGGATGTTCTGGATGATGAGGTTGCGTCGCTCCAGATGTGGGCGCCGCATGTGACTGAACTTTGCTTTGAGTTGGGCAAAGGCACGGCTGGCCTGCTGGTTCACAACTTCCAGTTCCAGCTGCACAGCCTCCAGGGCTTCCAAGTACTGCTCAGTCTTGCGAGTGGGCTGCGGCTTCCCTCCCTCTCCCTCGTCGTCGTCGTCGTCGTCGTCGTCCTCCTCCTCCTCCTCCTCCCCCACCGAGATGACTGAGCACTCATCTTCAGCTGCTGCCTCAGCAGCCCTCCGCCTCTCCTTGGCCTCCTTCCTCTTTCTCCTGGTCTCCCGGCCATCCCCGGAGTCATCGGTCACCCCGATGGCGGCTTCCGCATTCCTCCGCGCCAGCCTGGCAGTTTCCACGCCCCCCGCAGCGCCTCCTTGTTGTTCCTCGTCGGAGGACGCCTCCCGGTCTCCGCTTGCACGGTCATCCCGAGTCCCCAAATCCTGTCCGGGAGCGCTTCGCTCCCCGACCGCAGGGGCGGCTTCGCGCACCCCCTGCTGGCCGGCCGTTTCCAGGCCACTCTTTTTTGCTTCCGAGGTTCCGTGCGCCTCCTGCTGGTTGAGGATTTCAAAGCTCCCGCCGCCCCAAGCCGTCATCTCGGCCAGAGCTTGGGCTGCCTCGGTCTCCTTCTGCAATTGACAAGCCGGGTCTAAGCGCCGCTGCTTAGGGGCCGGGGATTGGGGGTCCCAGGCCCCACCGCCCTCGCTCATGGTAGTTCAACTCCGGTCCCAACGACAGATCGAAGTCCGAAGTCCGAAGTCCGAAAGGGGCGGGCAAAAAGCCGCAAGTCCGTCCAACCGTCGGTGGCAGAGCAGGGGGAGAACTAGGATGGGGGAAGGGCGCAAGGGAAACGGCCTCTTCCAACTGCCTAAGCGCGAGAATCCTGCGCAGCTTCTCCTGATTGGTCGGCGGTGATCGAGGTCGGGCCACTGAGGCAGAAGCTGCCTCGCTCATTTGGATGATCCCAACGCGGATTGGCTGGCTCCAGGAGGCAATCGAAGAAAAGATCCCGCCTTTTTTTAACCCCACGTGGGGGAAGCAAGCGTTGATAGGCCCATGGTTTCCAGATTTCATTCGCCCCTGGTCTGTGGCGTGCTTCCCTTTTACCGACCTTGTTTCGGTCGTCTCCGTCGCAGAAGAAACGGTGACGCGGACGTTCCCAGGGTGATCGGACGAGCGGCGCATGCGCAGCAACATTTCGGATGCCTTCTCACCCCTTGGGGCATGCGCCCTGGGAGGCGAGTGCCGCTCTCTGTCTAGCTTATGCCAAGCGGCTGACGAGGGTGTGGGTCCTGCTGCGTTTGGAGCAAGAGGCGGAGGGCGGCTTATGCGCTGTCCTACAAGATAGCGATAACTGCGCCGCCAGCAGAGATAGCAAGGCCGGGAGTTATCAGCGGGGAGCAGAAGCCCTCCCTGCGCCTCCTGGGTGTGGTGCGCTCACATGATTGCCCAAAGAGGCTGGTGGGCGGGAGATTCAAAAATAATTTCGCCAGGCAACGTGCATGTTAACTTAAAGCATTAACTCCCGGATGATATGCGGATGCATATCCGCTTCAATTGCATGAGAAGTGGGGTAGGCGACTTCGTCGGCTCCTTGTTACAACAGCTACGTGAGCAGAACATCCAGGGTCCGATAATAATAGTTGCCAGAGGACCAAGGAGAAGGGAAGTTTGCTGCTTTCATGCTTTGCTTACAGCTTCTTAGAAAGAAATTCTTCCCTTTTTACCCAATTTTCACTTCGCTCGGTTCATCATTGTCTTCTGATGTCCTTTACAGAGCCTTAACTGTGTTTGACTGCCTCATGCGGCAACTGTTTGAAGTTATGATGGTGAAAAAAAACTTGGTGACCAGTCCTTGCATTTACGACCGTTGCAACATCCCACAGTCATGTGATCGCCATTAGGGCACTTCGCAACCAGCTTGCAACAAGCAGAGTTCATAGGGAAGGCAGAAGTAAAATTGCAAGTCATGGTCACATGATTTTTTGCTTAGCAATCACACAGCTTCCTTACCAATTGAAGGGGAAGTAAGGTCGTAAGCCTGCTGCAGTGAGGTGATTTTTCCACTTAGTGACTGTGGCACAATTGTGGCACTTTGCAACTACTGTAAGTTGCTGGTCTGGATTGTGGTCGCTAAGTAAGGACTCCCTGTAATTCAGTTTCCAGTATTCCCATGCTGTGCTTTTACTAATAAGGAAAAGAGTATATTTTAAAATTTTATTTATTTATTGAATTTCAAGGCTGTCTGACTCCAAAAGGACTCTGAGCATCTTACCATTTTAGAAGTTGCGCATAATTTTTTAAAAAAGAATACAAAATCCACCCGGACAAAACCACATAAATAATAACCAGGAAAAAAATTCAACGGGCTCCACAAACATCCTGACCCCAGATTTGGGAAGAGAGCCAGGTCTTCAGAGACTTATGGACCATTGAAGGGTGGGAGCAATATATATCTCTGCGGGGATGTTGTTCCAGAACTGAGGTGCTGAAATAGAAAAGGCACACTTCCTTGGTCTGCAAGATTTAATTGAAGGGACCAGAGCACATACACTGTGCCCAATCATACTGGATGAGCAGAAACAATTGGAAACTATGTTCCACATAGGCTGCTCCTATGCCATAAAGGGCTATATAGGTGATGATCGGCATCTTGAATTGCGCCCAGAAGCTGATGTAACCAATACAATTTGGAAACAGCCAAGGCACATGAACATAGTGATAAGCACCCCTTACTGCCTCGACCGCTGAATTTTGAACCAGCTGTAGCTTCTGGATGTCTTCAAGGGCAGCCCCATGTAAAGCACACCGCAGTAGTCCAATCATGAGGTGACTAAGGCATGAATGACCAACTGAAGGGCATTTTGGTCAAGAAAAGGGCACAGCTGGCACCCAAGATGGACTTGTACAAAGGGTCTCCTGGCCACAGCTATCACCTGCTCTTCAAGCAGTAGCTACAAATCCAGCAGGACCTCCAAATTGCACATTCAACCCCATCCAAGACCAAAGTGAAAACATCCCAGAACTAGGGGCCCAATCAACCACCGTCACTCAGTCTTGAGCCTGAGTCTATTCCTCCCCATCCAGACCTGAATAGCCTCCAGACTCTGAATCAATACATTGACAGCTTCACCTGCACAGCCTGGGGTTGGGATGTACAATTGGGTATCATAAGCATACTGATGATCCTGGACCTCAACCTGCAGTTCACCTCACCAAATGTTTTCACAGAAATGTTAAACAGGAGGAACAAGAGTCTTGCCCTGAGGCACCTCATGGGTGAGGGGACGCAAGTGCAACCTCCCCCTACTGGAACTGACCACTGCTGAAGGAGGTGTGCCACTGCAACAAAGTGCCCCCCCCAACTCCCACAGCCAGTTCAGAAGGATACTGTGGTCAACATTATCTAAGGCTGCTGAGAGATGAAGGAGCACAAGGATGGATGTACCACCCTCATCCTGTCTCTACCAAAGGTCATCAACAAGTGTAACTAATGTTGTCTCAGTACTGTACCCTGGCCTGAAATCCAACTGAAATGGGTCCTGATAATTGTTGTAATTTTTGCCATGAAGCTTTGACTGTGCAAACATAGGAGGCTCTGGTACTTCTAAAGATTCTCCATTGTAGTAAATAATTAATAATGCAGTTAGATTCAGGAAAGGAATGATACTTAGAAGATGTAAAAAGCCATAATTTCAGTTTGTGCCATCTCTAGCAACAAGTTCATTAGAAACAGAACTGGGAGATTTCCTTAGCTGTTCAGAAATTGGATTGTAATCTCCTGGAATCACAGCCTATGGAAAACATCGGGTAAGCCTGGGCACCAACCTATAGAATGAATCCTACATTCAGCAGGAAGGAATTTGTTGTACTGCTGAATAAGAATAGGATGACCTATAGGGCTGACAATAGGCCATTTCCCACCACTGAGCTGGTGCTCTCCATTTATTCTTGAATTCAATAGAAAACGATACTGGCATGAAGTTGTCTTCATTGCCAATCCTATTATTGCCTTTGTACCCAGTCACCCCCAACCCTCTGATTTCCAAGGTCATGGTGATAAATTCAAACACTTTTTATACATCTGGGTGATGCTTTTGCTGGAATAAGGAAGAAAATACCACTTTAACAAAGGATGACTTACGGATGTCTCACTCATAGGCTGGGAGTGAGATGAAGGCAATGGCATGGGGATGTGGCAGAAAAAAGATGTTGCCAGGCATGTTTCAGTTGAGGTTAGGTGCAAAAGACCTTGTAAAATTAAAACTATTTCCCCAGTGCTGCCCTTCTGGTTTCCTTATGCTCAATATATTGCAGGCTAAAGCATTTCAAGGCATGATGGAAATTGCACATTGGAATTAGGTAATTTCTTGTTTCTGACTTGTGGCATACTGACAGAAATGGCTGGTTGCCAATGGCACAGAATTGTTTGCATCTGCTTACTTACTAGCGCTTTTATGTGCCGCTCCAACCCAGCAGGACTGGGGCAGCCACTCCTAGGGAGCCTTGCCCACTCCATCTCCCACGAACCAGCCATCAGCTGAGCTGCAGGAAATGCTGAAGAAAGGAACGGTCTCCCTCTTTCTGCAGTTCTAAACAAGATCACTGAAAGAGGATAAAGGCTTGAACCTTGCTCTCTCCCCACGTTTTCAAAGCGTGTGAATGGGGAGAAACTGAGTCAAGTGTGTGAGAGTAATATGCATGCTGGTATACCTTAGCCCCACTGAACATCATCCGTACCCAGTTGTGCTGCTCCTAAAGGGATCCACAGGATTCACTGTATTTGTTCAATGATGTTATTCTAAAAGTGGAGCATTATTGAGATGACAAAACATATGGATCATCGTATTCTTACATTCAACACCCTTTCTAAATCAATAAGCACAGCAAAACAAAATTCTTAAGAGTGTATAAAAAAGCTGGAAGAGATGTTCATATAGAATTAATCAAGAGGGTTTGGTTCTGCCTTCCTAATAACTAAAGTGGAGTAATCAAGACAGAATTTATTTGGGCAACAGAGTCCACAAGGTGGCAATGTGAGCCCAGGTTGTGGAAGCAATTCATTTCATAGTAGTGTTACACTACTATTGTATTGAAACAAATGCACCTGTTTAGAAGATCACTTCTTTGGGACTGATTGTAGAATGGCAAGGGAGAACATGGAAAAGGAAAGCAGTTGACCAAATTCAATATGCTGTTTCTGCTTCCTCTAGAGAGCTCAGAATGTATTATGCTCGTTCCAAAAGGATTTTTTGAGATAATATGTGAAGGGCCTGGAGCATTCAATATGCTAAGTACAAATGATTAAATACTAAATAACTATTATTTGAAACAAAACCTTTGTATGGTTCGGTCAGGCTACAAGTATTCAACATATGTGGTTCGTGTTGAAATCCGTATAATTTTAGTCATTTAATTTAAACATTTTGAAAGATAGTATTTTTCATTATTGGGACACAATCACTGGAATGGCTTGAAAATGAAAGCTTGCTACCTAGCTAAAAATGAGCTATTGTACTCTGTTTCTGACAAAGCATTTTGTCTAACATGATACTTAACATATGCCCACATTAAGAAAGATCCCTGAAACTAATTGTTTCATTTCTTCACAGAACCATATAGGCCCTTTAAGCTACGTTCTGGGACAAGGCAGAAAATTGCAAAAGAGCTGTTGCAGCGAAAGAGCTTTTACTACAAAGTGAAAAGCTACTGTGGGAATTCAGTGATACTAATGCTGCTTTTGAACCCTGAGTAAGCAACATGTAGGAAATTGTGGCTAGACTAGCAGCAGGAGTTGAGGAGAGGCTGAGACGGCATGAGATGGTCTTCAGTCCTATTTATTCCTTAAGCACTGCTCTGCTAACTGCTCCTAGACTGAATAGGTTAGGCAAAACTGTGCCAAAGCAACTGAGGGTGCCGCAGATGTATTATATTCCATTTTGTATTGATACTTCTCAAAATTTGAACTTGGAGCCCATTTGCTTGAAAGATTGAGCATCACTGTTCAATCTCTCTACCCTCCAGAAATCTATACTCTGTAAAACTATTTTCCTATATCCTTATAAAGACTCAAATTTTAAGACCTTTCAAGATCTCACTTGAAAATTGAACTATGTTTTCTTTTAATTGCTAAATGACCATGAGTATTTATTTTTTGGGTGAAAACATTTTTTCAGTGACCACAATTTTACCCACAGTTTGATCACAAATCATATTTATATAAAATATAACAGCAAATCAGATATTAGAATTTAGTCCTTTTCATTTGAGGCAGGGTATCACACTTTTTCAAACAATATATACACACATTCTGTGGATAAATGATTATTAGATGGAGATTATGTACTGTCATCACACTTGCTTCCTGGTTTCCTGCCCCCTTCAACTGTATCTTTCAATACTAATAACAGTTGGTTGGCTTCAGCTTAAGAGTACTGCTATTCCTGGCATATACTCTCTTAACTTGCTGCTTTTCATGCAGAAAAATCTATCCCACATTGCTTTGGAGCAAATGAGGAAAGATGGAGGGCAGTGCCATTAAGTGGATGCTAGAACAAATGGAGCTAGTCCAAAATGTTTAAGCTCTTGAAGCAGAAAATCTTAATGGCACACCCTTCATGGTGAATAGCACCCCAAATCTGCCACTTGAGATACCTACTTAATTTGTCTCACAGTAGTGTCAAGCATTTATTCCTGGTCTGGGAGGATATAAGAATCCTGGAATCATTTCTTATCCTTTTCATGCTGGGTTCCCTTGAGATGATCAAAACTATTGTTGAGTTTTCCTGTGCTAATTAAATCAGATTGATCACCATAGCACCACTGGGAAAGTAGAAGCCCATTTGCCAGGACCAGGTGTGGAATTTTCAAGGTTTTCCAGAAGCCACGCTGATGGTGTGAAGGGTAGGGAAAACTAGCATAGAGGCTCGGTAGTTTCAAAATGAATGTACAGTATTTGGCCCATATTCAATGTAAGGTGGCAGCCCCCCCCCTTTTTTTTAATAGGTTCACAATATTAAAAAATGAAAAAGTCAGAAGAAAAAGATACTTTAATGGTTGAAAGGAAGGGTTGCATAGGAAGACGGTTGTCCTGCGCAAAGGAGAACTGCCTTTAGTGAAGTCTATCGTGTGAAAAGAAAAGTCTTCAGGGGTGACCTACATAAAGCAAATTAACTCTGGTTACTTGGAGAAAAGCAGCGATCTTTTACTTGCTTTTTTATTCCCCTTTGGAGAGCACTGGAAGTAGTGGGCTTCCTGGCTGACTGCATTGCCAGTAGTGCCAAAAATGGTCCTTGTCAGTTCAGATCATTTGAAGCTTACTGTCAAGTGATCCTTGAAATCATTCTGGATACATCCAGAATTAATTACCAACGTTTCTGATTGTGATTGTCCCAATATGCACATATCAATAAATACAGATGCCATTTTTATGTCATCCCTTGCTATTAAGTTTAACAAAAAATAAAAACATGGCTTGTGCCTAGGGAACCCAAGGAACAGGACAGGCAGTGGAAAACTATACAGATTGCAGCCTGATGTAATGGCGAGGATTCTGTATGGGCCTCGGTGAAAATACCTGTACGCTTTTCTTTATGATGAATGGAATTCTTCCGAATGTGCTTCCCCATCACATTTCTCATATTACCTTTCACTGGAATTTCAGTGTTAGTCTCCCAGACAGCTGGGCCTGCTATTCCAGAGAATTGGATGGTTGCCCAAGGCAGCAGATACCATGTCATGCTACACCCTTTTCTGGGATGGCCGACTGCCTTCCTGTGGAGCAGAGGGCCTTTTTGTTGAAAAGGTTACATGCCAGTCCCATGAATGTTTCATGTGGAATGGAAGAAAATGCCATCTCTCCTTGACCTTAAGCAACATGTCTTGGGACAGACCTGGTCTCCCCACTCTTATTCTAAGCTACACTCCTTATTGTGTAGCTCTGAAGTTAGAAACAAAGGTACACAAACTTTTTCAGGCTGTGGTGTCAGAGAACAAATTTGATGTAATTTAATATCAATTAAACACAATTCATATGATTACTTTCAATATATTTAATAACTTTCCCCTTATGTCACATGAAAAATTTTGGAAAAGCTCTGTATGCTCAAGGCTTTGTGGAATTACATGCAGATCCGGAGCCACACTAGTTGTGCACTCCTCGCATAAATATGGCAATGGTGGGTGTTTCCTTATCACCTCAAAACGGAGCAGCAGTTGGTAATGTTCTTAGTGCTGTGGGGGAATTTATAATACTGATAATATACCATTGTAATGATACAGTAAAAGTGGCTGCTTTCTCACAACCTCAGTTAGATTCTGGGTGCTTCCTTGTAAGGATTCTGTGAAGTTCAGAAGCAGCTCCGGGAGTGTGTGATCCATGCCATCAGCTGTATTTAAAGAACAAACCAATTTATTTTTGGTTCAGCTGTGGTTTATCTGAGACTGCAGTAAAATTAATCCCTCTAATGCTGTAGCTCTATGGAGCTTGTGGGGGGTCCATCTCCCCATTTGTGGGAGCTCCTCTCTCTGTCCAGCCCCTCAGGACTTTCAGGGAGAAAGATGGTGTGAAGCCTATCACACTCCTTCCCCACTCCCAGGAACTGCTTGGGTTTCTTTGCATACGAACAGACAAATATAACATAAAATAAGCACAGGGATGGAGGTTGGGTGAAAGACATTTTAAAAACTTCTTTTTGCATAGAGCACAAGTAAGGGCATTTGTGTTTCTCTGGGACCTGCGGTAATTCAGGGGTGGGCAGTGATTTCTTATCCCTTGCTCTCGGTGTTGCAAGTCCAGCAGAAAAAACAGGAATTGTGGATCACCTTGGAAGTGAAAAGAATGGCAGTGTGGAAGTGCTCCTGGCAAGTTTGTCAGTGTTTGATTTTAAAATGGGTGCAATGGGACACAAGGGGGGGGGCAAAATGGAGTTAGATAAGATATTGTCACAGACAACATGAAACTTGGCAGAACAGAGTTTTGCTGGAACAGAATCTGATCTAGGGCAGACTTATCAGATCTAGGGATGAGACATCTTTCCTGGGCACACTAAAGGCTTTTCAGCCCTGACTGTACTCGTGACCTTACAGAATTTGATTTAATTAGTTGGATTGCTAACATAATGGAACAAATTTCAAATTCTAGTTTCAGATTTGAGAGTAAGCAGTATGTCTGCCTCTGTAAGGGAAGAGACAAGTGTGTCGTTATGTGAAATAAGTTTGTCCCTTCAGAGCTTATGGTATAACTTTTCTGTGTCTATCTTAAATTTTTGAGGTAAAATGTACTAATGTGTAGTGTAGGACTTCATTATGATTTCCATCCTATAAAATAACTTGCCTAGAAAAGTCTATACATATTAAAGATGGGCAGCCAGACCTCTGGAGGCCCCAGAAGCTTTCCTTCTAACCTCTAATCCAAGTTTTCTCCTTCCAAACAGGCACATAATTAAGTATCTCAGACTTTTTAAAGCAGGAAGTTGGGCCAAGAGGCATTTCAAACAGCAAGGGAAGCTTTAAGAAAATCCTGTCCTTACAATGCACCATTGAATCATTCCCATGTTCAGACTGCAGAGGCTGGGTTCACACATCATGCTGATCCAAAACCAAACCAACCACATAAGAGCTTAGTGTGATGTGAGAATCAGGCCTAAAGAAATGTGCAGGGAAATGGTTGTGAATGCTGAGGTGCAAAAGGGTTTGCCAAAACCGCTGCTACTCATACTGTGGAAGAGGAATAGAAAATCTTTTGGCCATACTTTGGCTGGTGATGAAGTGAGTCAATAGTGGAGCCCAGGTTGCTAGATCTATTAGGTAGTGGAACTCATGTTGCTAGGTCTATTAACTTGAAATGGTTGCAATTTTTTTTAACAATCTTCCATTTTTTGCTGAATTTGTTTTTTTTCTTTCTCTTTTATATAAGAGTTAGAACTAAAATCTCCCCTGTGATAATTTTGTCATCCAACCTAGAGTCTTGATGAGGGGAAGATAGCAGGCACTCCTCTTCTTCTACCAATGTATGTCCATGCAAATATCATTAATATAATTTGATATATACACTTATGCCCTAGCAGTGAAAGCAGATGCACAGGTCAGCAGTGACAAACCTTTTCTTGCATTAAAACATGTCTCAGGTTCCAAAATATAGTTTAGCTTAGAATTCACTTTAGAGTTGCCAATATTTACTGGTGGAAGCAGAAGTTTAGAAGACTACATAAAATTAGAGGAAATGTGTGCATATAATTTAGAGGAGGGGCACTCAGCTCATACACAAATTCATTCTGTCTGTACATGATACTCTTCCAACAAACTCAGAAGCACAGTACTTTGCATTTTTTCAACTTTGCTCCATTCTCGGAAAATGTATTCTGTATGTATACAGGGGTCCAGATTAAAAACATAAGAACAATCCTAACCTTGATGTCTTCTTTGTTGACATTGGTTACCACAAATTTCTAAAAACAATGCAAAGTATTTTTTTTCAGGATCAAATTAGATATGATGCAACAAGGACCTTCGCTCTGGGGGACATGGAAAATTAATCCTTTTCCCATGGCACCACCTCTCTTTGTGCCTCTTAGCTACAGAAGGTGAAAAGGATAAATACCTGTCCTTTCATGGCTAAGGGCTATTTCCATCAGAGAAATGGTGCTAGATGGAAAGAAAACTCCTACTTCCACAACTGCCATTTAGATTAAAAGTAGCTGTTAGGAACTCTGGTCATGAATTTCACATCTGGTTTTTCTTTGTTTATATTTGGTCTTGCTTTTCATTAAAAAGAACCACCCAGGAATTTTGCATTTCATTGCATTTCATATGTATATTAAAAAACCCAAACCAAAACAAGAAAATCCCCAGAAAAAGGGGAAGTGGAAACAAATTTTGACACAAAAAGGGTGGTGGTGGGGTAGGATCAGTCTGAATCCTTATCCCAAATCTCAGTTTTCCACCCACTGAATTAAACCCCCAACCCACTATCCCAAGCTGTCCCCATTGGAAAGAAATTCAGAAGCATACATTGCAGGGGACACACATCCATCTGTCCTGTGCCCCCACCCAACCCTCCCTCCCTTGCGGTAGTCTCAATTTCTTTATTCATTTCCCCTTTAAAAAACAACAACAACTTTTTTCGTGTCTCTTTCCAGAAAACAAATTCTGGAAATCATCTGTTCATCTGCCATATTTTTCAAATATGGTTCTCCATGGGGTGGCCGTAATGCTGACCAGTGATTAAGGCCATTCTGTGGTGGCAGGACTGGAGGGTAAGACGAACAGTCTTCTTCAGAGGCAAAAGTAAACATCAGAGTCCTTTGAAGGGAAAACGTTGGGGAAAGCCCCAATCTCTGCACTAAATTCATCTGGTTCCCCAAATCCTGCCCCCACTCCCAGGCTCTGACTCTTCCATCTCCTGAACTAACGTTCTCTCGTTTCTTTCCCTGACATACAGCCCTCTTCAAATGTCCCATTTGCCTTTCTCACACAATACTGGCAACAAAGCCTCTTCCAGGAATCTCTCCCCAACACTTTCTTCCTCCTCGATCTTTTCTCCCAGCCCATGCCTCCCAATCCCATCCCATAAGGAGCATTTAATTGCAAACAGTAATCATGTCCATCTCAGTAGGATCAAACTATATGGCTAGGAATCGGTCAGTTTGAATTTGGAGAGTTCCTGCTTCAGAAAATGCAACGATGGGACAGGTGGGTACTATCACTAAGTATGAACTCAACCAGTCAGTTATAGCTTCTCCTGTTCCAAACCCCAAACTCTATTCATATTGTTGAATGAAAAGAGAATCAGGAATTCTGACCCCTATATTCCCCCTGCCCTCACTACAGTTCAGGTGTGACATTTTCTCTCCCAATTTTCTAACCAGTACACCCATGTTTTCTCTCACAGGCTGTCCACCCACCCCACTTTTTCCTATGGTTGATTTCCATCTTAAGGTTTAGCAGCAGAACTAGGATGCCTTTTCTAACTCAAGAGGCACTTTGTCCTCTTTCCATCAGTGATCCAAAGGCCAATAGCTTGTCTGCTGGAATAAATCCAGAAATATGGGATAGTAAATTTGGGCAGGTGAGCTTCTCTTACTTAAACTGAAAACATCTCTCAACAGGAGATGCAGACAATGTTGTGATATGTGGCATGGGCAGGTGTTTTGAGTGTCTGCAAGTAGGGAGGGGTGGCTATAGAAATATATAAACCTTGAACAGTAGTGTTCTTTACTTTTCATCTTAGCAGAATATGTACTACCACACTGACATCACGCCTTATGATTTCCATGTAGTCACCCTACATTTCTCTGCAGCCTTGGATGCACTCTACTTTGCATATTGATATATCATTTCCCACTCTTAAGGGAATGGGTTCCTCCCACACACACACAGGCCTCTCCCCACCAAATGCATCTCCTGCATCTTCCTCCTTGCATTGTTCCAGGGTGACATGGTCTACAGGATCCTGGATTGGTTGCTGCCATGGCAACTGAGGTGGAGTTTCCAAGGCTCCCTGGTTACCGCTTCTGACAGACAAAGAGCTAAGTCATGGCTGGCTCCATGGCATTCCCTTGAACAACTCTGTCTGCTGCTTCCTTTCCTCCACCCTCTCTCGGCCCATCCTCCATCCCCCCATAGCCCCACAAATTCTGAGATCATGTGGAATTTATTTCATTGATGGAGTTACTGGATCAGAAAATTAATCTTGCATAAAAGTACATTCCATCAATAGGGACCCCTTTTAATTGTCACCCTCTAGCTGTAAAACCAAACAAAACCACTGAGCGCAAACTATTTCTGCTCCAGTGAGTGGAATAGTTTTGGCTTCACTCTAGGAGATCAAACCCAAAAATCTAACTCTGGCCTACTTTCAAAGCAATAATGGGTATTAAGAAGCTAGGGATAGAGTTTTGTAGGGACAGTCTTAAATGATTTGATAGAGTTTGGGGATTATAAAACCAGGAAAGCATAGGATATTTTTCACCTCTTCTGAGAACTGATGGAATACTACTAGGGACCAAATACTGTCATCATATGGCTCTGGATTTACCCCAGAGGAACACAGACCAGAATCCAGCTCTGGTCTCATAGCAGCTAATGGATGATTTTGATAACGACCCTTAGACAACTGAGAGATCAGAGTGTTTGTGATACAAGTACTCTGGGGGACCATGACCTGTTGCAGGGGAAGAAAAACCTTGTGTGACATATGAGGAAAAAGAAAATCAAATACAGTTGGCATGGGTGGGGTGCATTCTAGCCAACCTTTTAGCATTCCTCACATCACACAGTAAGGCTCTCTGGGCAATTCAGGCTCTGTCCTCCAGCAGGGAATGTGGGCAATCAAGCCTTTCTTGAGGTCTTTGTTGAGTAGAAAGCAAACTATGGGATTGACAGCAGCTTGGGCAAAGCTCATCCAAACGGCTGTGGAGAGGTAGCGGTGGGGGATGCTACAGGCTTTGACAAATACCCTCCAATAGCAGGCCACAATGTAGGGTGACCAGAGCACCAAGAAGAGCAAAGTGATGACGTAGAACATCCTGCCTAGCTTCTTCTCAGCCTTGAATTCTTCCATGCCCAGCAAGCGCCGATTGGCAGCATGGGCGTTCTGCCGTATGCCCAACAATGTAGGAGGCATGGGGCCACGGCCAAAGCCAGCAATCCAGTTGGCCGCAGCTTGTCCAGTGGCTCCAGGTCCATGGAACGTCCAGTTCTGGCTGATAGCTGGAACCATTTGGACAGGCTTCATCTTACGATGGCGGTACTCAAAGAGCAGTAGCTTGATATAAACCACGTGGGTGGCGAAGATCAGCACGGCTAGCATGAGCATGAAGCCCAGGGTGTCATTGGCTTTGAAGTAGCGGTGCTCAAAGATGCACTGGTCTTCCTCACGGATGAACTTGTAGGTCCCAACATCAAAGACTGGTGGAAAGGCCATAGCCACTGACAAAGTCCACACCATGCAGATGACAGCAATGCACGTCCAGAAAGTCATGCGTTTCGCATAGAAGCGGTGGTGAGCCACAGCCATATAGCGAGTGACGCTGATGCAGAAGAGGAGAAAGGCAGCATGGAAACAGAAGAGAACAGCCATGAAGGCCACAATCTTGCAGCTCAGTACACTGTAGGTCCAAGCAGAGCCATGGCGGATAGAGACGAGAACAAAAGGAAAGCAGACAGCTGAGCGGATCACATCAGCCAGGCACAGATCCAGTAAGAAGTAATAGGGGGCCTTGTGGAGACCACGTTCTTTCAACACCAGCAGTGAGAGAGACAGATTCCCTGCTAGACTCACACAGATGATGAGGCCCAGGAGTAGCAGCTTGGCGTAAGTGGAAGCTGGGCTGGGTGCTGAGCCATGGGCCTCTTCAGTCTCATTGGCGCTGGCCATCTTTAGGCTGGGGAAGGAAAGGGGGAACCTGGGTCAGCGGCAATGTGCCCGGTGACAGCCCATGTCCCCAGTACTAAAGGGAGGCATTGTCTGTAGGGAAAAAAGCAGGAAAAAAATATGGGAAAGAAAGCATTAATCGGTGGCAGTGTAATAACTTTTTCTCACCAGGCTGAAATCAAACCCTAAGAGTCGTGTTCTGGAATAATCATGAACACCTCAACATCCAAATGAAAGATGCCCCAGAGTCTTTAAAGGAAAAACTTCAGGCTATTTTTTTTTTGCATAGGTGATGATGAAAACATATTTGCACAAATTAATATTAAAGTGATCTCTAGAACACCTTAATGCTCTGAGAACTTGTAAACTCACAGAGGATTTGAGAGCGTGCTCAGGATTTGGGGGGAGCCACTGGTGTCAGATGCAACTGGCAGCACCAGAATGCTGTTTCTGGCATGTGGAGGACTCAGTCAGTTGTGCCACCCTGAGCACCGTACACTTATTCTCTCTCTCTCTCACACACACACACGCTTGTTCCTGCCCTTCTTCTAAGAGCTCGTTATAATGATACTCTCCTTTAACCTCACAATACTGCAATTAAATTAAAAAGAGACATCTTCCTAAGCCATGATGTCATTAACCATAGTTCATTGCATGTAATAAAGTGAGTTCCCCCATACCTCTAATGTGTAATCTGTAGTTTACCAACTAAAATGGTGGACTCACGTGTTCTATTAATCCATAAACACTCCATTTGTAAAGCAAGCCATGGCTCAGTAATGGGTGAACCCAGCCGCTGACTGGCTGAGCGGGGTTTTACATATAACTCATTTATTCCCCTACAAACTGGATCCTCGCTGACAAGAGACCCACCCTGTCAGCTGCAGTTTCTTATCCTAGAGAAGAAGAATTTCATCCATTCGCTGTCACTTTGAGCCAGTATTGGACATGAACCTCATCCTAGGTTCTCACCCTGACTAATAATTTTGGGGGAGAAGGGAGACATAAGGAGCTCTGTCAGAATTCTCAGGAGAAACCATAACACTTAAACTGGTGTGGAATAAATACATGTTTGTAATTTTCAAGTATCCTCTGTGCACTTTTTTGGGACATGTGGTTAAAACTTTAGACACCACAGTTTCACTGGCTTCTCCTTTCTGCCAAGCTGCTTCATACATTTTGAGCTCCGTGCAGTCGTCAGAAACATTCAGAAGGGAAGTGCTTCTGTCCTTCAGACCTGTCTGAGAAGCAGTAATCTTTCTGAATGCAATACTAGTCGTTAATATGTGTTGTAATTATTGGGCAAATTCCCAGCTTGGGGATGAAGACAATTAAAAGCAATGCTGTTAGTCAGTAATACCAGTTTACTTTATGATTCTGAGGTTCTTCTAAATTTAAAACTTTTTTTTTCATTCACAGAAGCTCATTTTTATTTAAGCATCAACTCTATGGGAGTTAGTAGCACCACAAATAAGCAAGCACAAATGGATACGTTCACAGATGGTTTTCTTTTGCATGTGGGGATTGCTCAGTTCCTTGGCCAGTGTTAGATGATTAGACAGATCTCTTAATAGGAGGATGGAAAGCTGCCTTATATTGAGTCAGATCATTCATCCGGCATCAATATATTAGGTTAGAATTGTCTGCTACAGTGATTGGCAGTCCTTCAGACAGGTGCCTTTCCCAGCCCTAACTGGAATTGATACAATTTGTACTTTGGTGTATGGAAGGAATTTTGTCAGGCGCTGCTTATATGTGAAGATTTATTTTATTTTATTTTATTTTATTTTATTTATTTATTTATTTATTTATTTATTTATATGCCTTTTCTTACGCAATTCTGAAAATCAGACTCCAATCCCTGTTCAGGCTTGGTCATTCTGGAATAGGAAATGTCAAATAGTGTCATGAGTAGCAAATTAAATATTTAGTTCCCTGTGAGCCCCAAATGCCCCCTGATACAAGAGGCTTCCTGTTACACGAGGGATGTACAATGTAAGAGTTGGATGGCACTCTTGATTCTGAGACTACCCTTCAAAAATGGGTGGGGCCAGGACAAATCTAACATTTGTCTTATTTCATTTCCATTTAAATTGTGTCTGTGTGTGTGCCTGTGTATCTCTCTCTCATTAAGGGATGTGCAAAGGATTTTGATGACTTTTCTAATGCAAATCTGAAACTATCCATGCTTATAAAGGGCCAGATCAATCTCTAAAGAATCAGAAATCAGTGAGGTGAGTGGTTGCCTTTCAAGATTCTTCTTACATAGTCATAGTTACATAAATGGTAGCTAATCCTTACACATTCCTCACAGCGCAGACAAGCAAAAAATCAGAAGGAGTCAGGTAACACTTGTTCCAGCTAACACCTTTTATTAAAAGGCAAAGCTTATGCCTTTTAATAAAACGTGTTAGTTGGAAAAGGTGTTACTAGACTCTTTCCGATTGTTTGCTATTATAAACTATTATGGCTCTCTTCCTCCAAAGCAAACAATTGCTGACTTATCCTGAAGATGCTCAAAACGAGACTAGGATCAAATTTTTAAGAAACAGGTTTTTTACACAGCAGCACATAGCTGCTATGCACTTTAATTCTAAAAGGACTTAATCACATTTGCTCATGTTCACCCATTGTTACGTTGTTTTCCTCCTTCCTCATACCCCAGTCTTTCCTGTTCCCTGTTGGCATTTGGGCTGCACACCTTCTGGCGCATAAGTACTAGGCAGACTGATCTCTCTTTTATTTATTGGGGCAGGGTGGGGGGAAGATGACAATAGACAGAACGGTGAATCTCCCACACTTGATTGACTTTGCTGGTACAGGAAAGATATGAGGACGGGTGGCCCTTGTTAGTCGTTTTCCATTCCAGCCTAGCAAGCCCAGGTAACAAAACTATGGATAACAAGATCTTGAAAAAACATACTTGGTGCATGCCCATCTGCTGATTTGTGTGTAAAGTAAAAACAAGCCCCAAACCACAGATACATGAAAGCATTTAATATGCATACCAAGCTCTGGCCTCTAACAGAACCATGGATAACAAGGGCCACCAATGTGTCTCTGGGTATTACATTTTTAAATATATATTTATTTTGGAACTCAATCTGTTAATGTTTCGTGAGTCTGTGGAATTCTGAAATTCTGCATAAATAACCGCTTCCCCCTGAGATTCGGGTGCCTTTTTGCCTTTTCCCCAAACATTAGGGCCAGGATGTTAGGGGAGCCCAACATACGTGTGTTTCATGGAACTGTTATATAGTGCCTTCCCCCCACTTGTATTGTATTATTTTAATTGGGTTTTTTATGCATTGCTCGCCACCCAGAGTTATGTATTTAAGTTGGGTGGCTATATGAATTTTATAAATAAATAAATAAATAAATAAATAAATAAATAAAATGTTGATTATCAGATATTTGTATCACACAGAATCCTAATGAGATCATTTGCTATTAAAAGTTTTTGGCAGATCAAATAATAATGCCTCCCCATCTCTGCGCTATTCCATTATTATATACATACATACCCATCACGGAGATGAACAATGCTAGGCAGAGTGAAGAAAAAAGTAAGAGGTACTAAGCAGTATAAATTAAGCACATGGGAAAATAAAAGAAGAAAAAAATTAAATGTAATTTACGCTAACCCCATTATTATACTGCTTCATATCTTTCTATTCTTGCCTACCATCCTTGCTTTCTCCATATCCATTTATAGGTTGCTTTTCATTCTGCAAACATTTCAGCTCTTTTTTTGGGGCGGGGGGAATACATCCAGCCATGACGTACTCAGTCTTCCTAATCCTCTCAACAATTGACTCTTCTTCATATATTTACTAATGTAATTTGATCCTCATTCATTTTCTGTATATAATCAAACCATCTCAATACTTCTTCATACCGAAGATTCACTTTTGTATTCAATCCACAGTCATACAGCATGAATTCATTCTTGACCCATCTTGTTTACTACATACACATTTTAAGTATCCCATTAATATTTTTAATATTTTTCCTCCTTATGTACTCAACTCTCACCATATACCAAAGTGAGCAGAGGTACATAGCAGTTTTCGCTTTTTTCAACATTCATTTCTTGCAAAGAACACACACTACCCACTACTTTTCTATCTGCATTTGCACATATTAAAATTTCCCCATCCATTTCCCCATATTTAGTAAATATTGTACTACAGTTCATCTATTTGATCTATTTTTTTACCATTTATGTACAATTTCAACTATTTGCTGTATTTTCTCGGTCAAACATATTCCCCTTTCCACACATTAATTTTCAGATCCATACTTTTGTTGCACCATACAATCTACCTAATATTCACTATAAATCATTCAGGTTCCCATTCACCAATACAGTATAATTTCAGTACAAAAATACATGCATATTCACATTCCCAACTGACACACTGCTACCATTACCACAAGTATTTCTTAGACTTGTGGTGATGGTAGCAGTGTATATTAAACAACTGTCAGCTCTTCAAGGTAGATTAGACTAGGAAACCAAAATCATGCATGCTAATACTACTTTTATTGTATGGTTATAGTAACAGAATTTTGCAAGTCTGAATGTGCTTCCCCCCTCCCTCCCTTTATCTTCATGAAAACTAGGGAGGGTCTTGTCTGAGACACTTACTCAGATTACAGTTCTGGCCCAGATTCAGATTTCTTTTATCTGACCACTGTCTTGGTTGCGACTCTTCCTCCTGTTGCTCAAGGTTATTCCTTCTGCCATTACATCAACTAAAGGAACATCACACATCATTTTCTTACTCTCTGCTCAATGTTGAATCATTTGCTAAGCATTCCATTTATTTTTATGCATGCTTTACTTCCATCATACACTCTTCTTAATTACATTCTGCAACCAACCTTCATATTCATGCAAAACATTCCATAATACAAGCCTACTCATTTTATTGTATCCTTTCTTTAAATCAACAATATACTTTCTCATACTGTCAGCTCTACCCCATACACATGCAATTAACTTTCTCATATTCATGCATTTCTCAATGACTTGCTGAAGTACAAAAAAATGATCTGCACATTTCCTGCCTAGGATAAGGCTGTATTGC